ACAGTGTTCGTCAGCGTAGCAAATTTCATTTGGATATCTCGTTAATGACGGATTTGTTAATTTGAATACAGGCAAACAAGACAGACAGATTGATAAATGGACAGTCGGACAGACATGCAGTTGACACTGCATCGATCGATATAATAAATGGTACGTACAGCTCAAGTCCTTCTGGATGTTCCATAGGATATGGTATAGGGTATAACAAGTAAGTTAAGAATTATAGATAATTTATTTTTTTCCCATAAATTTGATTCAAAACTTGTTTCTCCATCATTACAGAAATTACCTGATGTAGTTGCATACATATTCGATTTTTTGAAATGATGTAATGTTAGAACCGTGTTATAACTTGGGCACCGTGTTATATTGAAACTTTGTTTTACAAGTACCATGTTACAAGTATTATGTTATACGAGGCACACATAGTATTAATTTCGTGTCATCTGATTATTTGACGACGCAATTCATTATCTGCCAAGTTCGACTTAGATACACTGGTGGGAAAAAGCATAGTCCAATTACACCGCCAGCTAAGAGAACGTACTACACCATGACTGCAGACTATTCCTATTGGCTTATGAGCTCCCTAGATGTGATGGATGCTCTTCAGCATACATCTATTCATTGTCTCATTATTTCATTCTGTTTAATCAATTTCTTGGAAATTTTAATATCCGATCCGTATCTAAAAATACCCTAGCTTTCATAAATATGTGAAATGTCTATGGAATGATCGTTGTGTGTGTTCATTGTTTAAAAATGCTGCGAAATTTAAATAATAAAGGCTTAAAAATCACCCTTACTATGCAATGTTAATAGGTTACGGGTAGAATAAAACTAAGCAAAAAGTAAAGGGAAAATAATATTTATGAAATATTTGCGCACTTTCTCTTTTCTCGTCATACAATTTCTATTCTTTTAACCTTGCTAAACCACAATCCTAAAAACGCAATTAAAAACCTACGGTCAAATGCACAGATTGCTTCTCATTCAATTAACTTAAAACTATAATAGAAATGGGTAAATGTGAAAAATACTCCACACCTCCCTTTTTCAATATTACAATATTACAATAAAATGTAATGACAAACTTTGTGAACATTTTCCTTTCATAGTTTTCTACCTTTTGTAGATTTGTTGCGCAATTTCAAATACGTGCAACTAAAATGTGAATAAACGCATGTCAAAATTACATTCGCAGTTAATTTCATTAATTTAATAGTAATAATTAAAAAAAAACGAAAATAAAAGAAAAAAATTCTTTCTCTTTTTTTACAAACAATTATCCTAAAAAAGATATTTCCTCGTTTAATTACCAATTCACGCCAATTTGCCTAAGATATTCCAGTTTTAGGTATTACCATTAAAAGCTACAATCAACGGCAATTTATTTTGCTGAAAAATCAAAGACAACGAACGTATATTTATAGTAAAGTAAAATATATATATTGTTGTAGTAAATCTGAAATAACCATAACTGGACATACCGTGTAGACAAAATTAAAGATAAACTCTACACTAACTCACCGAAAAAAGCAAAGTACTAATAGCAGAAAAAGCAATATACATGCGTATATATACATATATACATGTTATATATTTATTACCTAAAAGTCAATACGTTATTAACCAACTACGTACACTTATTAAAAAAAAAAAAAAACACAACAACAACAAAAACAAAAACAACAACAGCAAAAATAAATTAGTAAACGAAAGACTAAAACGCTTACATATATAACTTAAGTTAAAACTTGTGTTGGATACATATGCAAAAACAAAAAAAAAATTAACCAAAAAAAAAGTAACAACAAAACCCGCTTTACAATATTGTTAAGGCGAGATTAGATCACACACAGCCTCGTGTAGTATATTCATAGATGATATAATAAACTTGATGCAAAACTGCTGATACATATTTGGCTAATGGCGAACGGGGCTGAAAACGCAAATGAATGGAAAATGAAATGAAAAAAAGATAGCGAGAAAGAAGGAGAAAGAGTGTGAGTTGAGAGTTAAAAAGAGATAGGGTACAGAGTGACAAAGAGAGGGAGAGGAGGAAAACCAGCAACAAATAAAGACAAAAATCAAGCCAAAGTCAAAACAAAGTTAAGAAATAAACACAAATAAAACGCTTATTCAACTGAAACAAATGTCTTCTCACATGCCTACACATGTATATATGTATATATATATATATATATATATATATGTACTTGCATAAGGGCGGTGCAGAAATCTGAAAAAATTCGCAAAATAAGAAAATTTTTCCAAAAAACGCAGCATGCTCAGTAAAATACGCAAGAAATTTCAGATACATCTTGAGATTCCGATAAATTACGCTGTTAAACCTTGACCCTCTGTACTTCCGGAAGCATGTGCAAACGATTTGATACAAGTCTCCCTCAAAAGATAAATGACGGTCAAGTTATATTATAATTCAATACAAGCTTCGAAATTTTTATTTAATACATTCCCATCTTTCTGTATAGAAATGAAAAATAAAAAAAATATTACTTTTCAATCTATTTCTTTACCTTAGAGAAAATTACATATACGTATATATATATATATATATATATATATATATGTAAATATATACCACTCTAATCTCTGCATAGGTAGATACTTTTGTGAGCTAATAAAACTTTTAACAAACGCCTTCTTTAAATATTGTTCAAGGCACTTTAAATGACTGTCTTGCGTATTTGGAAAAGCAAAATCAAGATAAAATCTAGTATACCTCCGTATATACATCTACAGTGATTTGAAAAAAAAGAAACTGATGCTGAGACATCTTTTATTATACCTGAAGGCAAATTTGTATGAAAATCATCGCAATTCTTGCGCGTGAAGCTCAAATCTTTCCGAAATCTCCTAATGATTTGGAACGAAGCTAGTATTCGAATTGTGATAAGTAAAAAATCAACGGTACATATTCATAACGTGTTTTTCATCAAAAGCATATCTCTATGCTGTCTTGACGATCGCATTTATTTTTCTTTAATACAACAACAAGTGTCCACAAAATGATCACAGATTGAAGCTTATCATTTTTACTGCTTACGCGATCTTACATATCTTAGGTATATGCTAAATTGAATATTGCCATCGGATATTCAATTGTTCACTTAAGACAATGTAACATCCTATATAGAAAACAGAATATTAATATGGGGAAACTGTTAGTCATTCCTGTGAGCATTCATAAAAAAAAATAAAAAAATAAAAAAAATAGCAGCTTTGCAGCTATACTCTAAGGATGTCTTCAGCTAAGCAGACAACATAACGTAACTGATCCAAATTTCATTAAAAAAAAAAAAAAACAAGAAAAAATTATTTCATCTACATTCTTTTAATCAGAGCAATACGTAGGTTTTTTCTCTAGAAATATCGATATTTATGCAATTGACAAGTGTTTGAATGGAAAATTCAATATTGATTACTTTATCGAAAAACTCTTATATATTTTCGTACAAAATTTTGTTTTAAAGATCGTGTAAAATACTTGAATAAATCAAGTTAAGTTTAAGTTGTCCCATGTGCCGTTTTCAATAGGCATTGTTTTCTTATTTTTGCCCAGCACCGTTAAACATACCCCTTCAAGTTCTAATATTCTTCTTTATTTACTTTCCTCGAAAATGCCTCTTTTGTTATATTCGCCAAAGGCGGAATGATGGTGGAGAAAACCGTAAGAAAATATATGGAAATTCTAATTGTCGAATTCCCAATCAACTCAAATAACTTCATTTTAAATTTGTAATTTTTCAGAAGCAACATTGTAAGCTTTCAAGCAGATCTCTATATGTACTTAACGGACGTCTCAAGGAAACTATGCACACGTCCTTTGGTTTCGAAATGCTTTCGCAAAACCACCTAAATACTTTCACAAGACATTTGTCAATGGATTAGTGGAGATAGTAGTCATTAGGTAAGATATTCGGCAGTAACTTGTCAGCAAGCATCCTTTTGAGATAGTAAACCGGTAAGCGAGGATCGCGACTATCAAGTCAGTGTTCGCGGGTTCAAAGAATTCAATGGTAGACTTTACTTTGGTCGTACCCACCGCGAAGGTAACCGACATCTTGCGGATCGTTACCACATTACACTTACGGGGAACATTATCCCCATATTAAAACAACAAAAAATGAAAGAAAACTTAATCTCTTCAAAACAACCCTCTCCAATAACCGTCCTATTTTCTCTAGCTCACCTCTTTCGGGCCGTCATTTGCCATATTAAAAAAAAGAACAATGAAATAAAAAGAAATAACCTCGGAAACCAACCCACAATATTAAGGAAAAAATTTCTTTAATTTCTTGCTTTATTCCCACCTATTCTCGAAGGTTTATAGCTAAGGCAATAAACGGCGTTTTTTTCCCGAAAAGTTTACGGTGGTGTTATTGCTTAAGCGTGAGCAAGAGATGTGCCGTAAACAAATTAAATAAAAAAAAAAAATTGAAATTATATGCGAAGACTTTTTTTCTTCGATAACCTAAAATGCAGGAGAAACAGATGTGATTTGATTATTATACAAACAGAGTTGGGATGGGCAAACAAGAAACGACCGATATTCTGCAAGAATCCAATAGCGAAAAACAAAAAAAACAAAAACAAGTCGATGATCTAACGAGTAAAACATTACATCACATCTTTTACCCATTACTGTATGCATGTCTTCATGAAGTCTCTTAAAGAATTTGCACTTGAGACACAAAGTCGTCATAAGCTTATATAAGATGACGGGTTGTGAGAAAAACAAAATGTAAAAATAATAATTTCAAAATAAAATAAAAACCAAAATTAAAAAAAATTGCGTGAAGATCTCTTCTACAGAGCTTAAGCAAACCAGTCATTTTGATTATATTTACAAACAAAAAATATGAAAAATAAAAAAGAGTAAACAGTAAAAGAGAATAACACAAGCAAAAAAACAGAAAACCGAAAAAAAAACAAAAAGAATTATTTAATTATTTATCATTTTATTAAAAACTTACCTGATATGTATATTGTTTATTAAAATATTTCACCTTCAAACACACACACTTCTACAGCTTTATTAGAATATTTTTTTTATATCATTACTTTTTATTTATTTGGTTGTTTAAATATTATAATTTAATATATATACACATACACATATATTTTTATATAAAAACCACAAACAATGCATTTCAATAGCAATATTTATTGCATACAGATATCATTGATCGGACAAAACATGTTAATATTATCCTTTGGATTAAAGCATCAAAGTCAATGATACGCATGGAAAGATTCATAAATTTTTAATCAGCGTAAAAATCCAAGTCTATCTTAGTATTTAGTCAATTGGCGTTCGTCCTTTAGTTATTTTATTTTTATTATTTTTTTTTTCTAAAACATAACGAACATAAGTTATAGCTTAATCAGTCAGTCTATCAATCTCTCATCACTTTTATTTATTTTTTTTTTTTGTTTTACAGTAGAGAAGAGATTGAAATGTAAGATCTATATATATACATATATATACATATATATACAATGTTGAAAAATAAGCTGTAAGAGTTTTCAATGTCCCATTAAGAGCCATAAGAGAATGAAAAACTTTAATATGAATTGATAAGAGATAACGATAAAGTATGTGCACTCGATTACCTTCAACTTCATGTTCCTGCCGATTCGAGTTTTAACAATAAAACTTAACAAACGTCTAGCTAATATCATTGGAAATTATTTCAAATCCAGACGAATCAAAAGGTTTGATTAAGTGTTTAAATAAAACAATCTCCAATATTGAATCGATAAGATGCTTAAATTTCGATCAGTAAGTAATGTAACAGTAGTTTTCATTCGTATGTATATAGTATAATGGCACAGGTATTGAGAAAATAATTAAAGCAATAGGAGCAAATAGAGTTAACTCCCCATTCAATACAAAGGGGCCACGATGAAGGCAAAGTTTGCTAAAGCAAACGATGATAGATAAATAGATTTCTAATATAAAATGAATCAAGCTATTGTCGATCTTATAAGCTCTAATAGGTATACGGAAAACTCTCATTAAGGCATGAGTTGCTATAAGTATATGAAAAACCTCTCAATGTTTATACTCTCTATCAAGTTTTAGTTGGTAGTTGGTTTCTAGAAAAATATTAAACACGGACGTGATCTACTTTTAATTGCTTTACGGTGGCGACAACGCGAAAATAATTTAAAAAAAAAAAACAAAAAAAAAAATTGAATCTTTAATTATTTTGAATGCCAAACAAGGGAGAATATATTGGATTTAAAATATTCTTAGAAAACATTGAAATATGAATTGAAGACCCTCTAGCAGCATTTAAGCTTATGTTCATATTCGGCCTGAATAGCAATGTTGATTTAGCCGTATCTTTCGGCGTGTCTGCCCGTCTGTCCCCATCTATTCATTAATATCTGATCGCTGTTTACAAAATCAGATTAAATTTCAAATTCTTCTTACAATCTCCTCAAATTTAAATTCGCCACTTATCTAAAAAAAGGTAACAACAACAAGAATAACATATAAAAATAGAATGAAGAATGTATGTATGGTTCTTACTTTCTCCAATAACCTGCAAGTAATGTTTTTAAACTATATACGACCCATAATAATTTGCGGATATATCGAGTGAACTGCTCACACGCATAACCGTCCATTCAATTGTCCTACACAAGATCTATATTCATATTTAGTGATAAATTTCCAAATTTGCCTCTAACTAAACTGAGTCATATTTGTTATTATCCATTAAAGATATTTAAGGATAAAGTTAAAATACGAAAGAATAGATCTCTAAAATTACATTTTAAAAATACGCGATAGCAACTTATGCATAGTCTTACAAAATATCAGTCAAACAATGAATTTCTTAATAAGTGCAGATGAGTACTTGAGGAAGGGATTTTATTAATATATAAGTTTTTGCCGAAATTCCGACCTGATTGTGCTCGCAATGGACGAAGGGTAGAAAGCACGTCACATGAACAGATAGCTACAGCTAAATCAATTCCTCAGTTTACACTCCCTTCGATATGTACTTTTAAGTATTGGTTTTATTTGCAGAATTCAATAAACATAATCTGATGTATGTAAAGGTTCACCCTAAAGCGACTTAAATAGCTGATTGTTATTAAAGGGCTACAAGCATTTACGATATAGGTCGCAAGCCGCAAAAAAGGGTATGTGAATGCAACGGTTAGTTTGCATTTAAGATGGTGGGCATCCGAAATTCGCCCCAGATCTTGAAACTTATTTACTTTTTCTTTATTTACTGTACATGATTGATGTACGTTTACTTAATTTTTTTTTTTTTTTTTTGTAAATTATGTTAATTTTAGAAAAATAATATATTTTAGTTTTTTCTTTTTTGTTGTTATAGTTAGTTATATTATTATTAATTTCACCTATTTATACATAAACAATGTATATGTTATATGTATATACATATATGGGCACAGATATGCATTACGTATATATACATATTAAATTCTCAAAACACTCACGTAATTTATCTAAAAATAACCACGTTAAAGACTCTCCACTGTTGAAACAATTTAAAGCTTTGCGGACAAAAAATCGTTAAAAAGTAACACAAAAAAAAAAATCATTTAACTCATTAAAACATGTAAACAACTTTACTCGATGAAACAGCATCAAAAACAACAATTATTTTGCAAACATATTATATGTAATAATTATGTTATTTTCATTTGTTTACGTAAACTCAAATAAAACTTTGTTCATTTTTTTTTTTTTACTTATTTATTTTTATTTTTTTTTGTTGGAACAATATTTATACTGAATCAGAGATTTCCCATATCCGATATATATAGATATATATATATATATATATATATATGTATATTTATTTTTCGTACACACACTACTGCGTTTTTAAGAAATGAATTTTTGTTTTTTTGAATCTTCCGCTCACATCACGTGTAGTGTAAATATATATCGTTTCGTTTTAATACTGACTTGAATGTTTTTATATAAAGTTGGCTTATGTCCAGCAACGGAACAGAGAACGTATTGAGCGCACAACTTTTTAGTGCTTACTCTAAAAAGCCAGTTTGGTTAGATAAGCTTAAGTTTCTTTACGGTTTTATTTTTTATTTGTTGTTGTTTTTTTTTCTTGTTTTTTTTTTTTACTTTTTGTGAAAAGTAAGAGGAAAAGATATCTTCTCTAACTTAAAGAAACAATTCTCAATATTTCTCTCAGTCTCTCTCTCTCTCTCTCCCTCTCTCTCTCTCTCTCCCTCTCTCTCTCTCTTGGCTTTACTTCCAATTCAAAAGTTAGTTAGAGATCCTCCGAATACAAAAGGTTTGTGTATTCGATCAATTTTAAAACTATTAAAACATCAACCAAGACAGAAACTATACTCAGCTTAAACCGAATATCTTTGACACCCTCCAATTATTACAATTTTTCATATAAGAAAAATATATTTCTTCACATATGTGCGAAAGCGTTATTAATGTCATACTGTATATAAGAAATTTGATGTCTACCGTAAAAATAGAACATGTGAACTCTTAGTCTTGCCTGTACATTCATTTAAGGGATCAGAGCTTATGCAGACAAGAGTCATCACATACTACTACGACTTTAATAGCGTAAATTACGCGAAGTGTTTAAAACATTTATTATAATATACCTTAGAAGCAGATCTAACAGCAATGCGGTCCACAAGCAGTTGAAATTTCGAAATTTTATTTCACGTAAACAAACTTGAGCACGGGCTGGGCTGATTGACTTTTAAATCCGACAAATTTCTCTTAAACGAAGGAAAGTTCACATATCCAGCATTATAGGCGAATTATTCAGATATGAAAAGATGCATAGACGGATATATAGGTAAACCAAAATGGTTATTTACATTGATTGAAAGCATTAGGTCTTCTCCCCGATGATTTTACAACAGGTTTTTTTATACTGTTTTATTTTACACGTATTTAAAATAACTCGGTTCACCATTGGGAGCAATTGTAATTTTTTTACACGAGTTTTTGTTTCTAGCACGAATCCAAAAAACAAAAACAAGATATTTTTTGGATCCTAGTTTTAACAAAATCTCACAGAAACTTATGTACACAGCAGCAAAATACAATTTGGGAGAATTTTGTGATCAGCCGGTTTATGCCTACACATGTGTTAGTAACTTGCTCTACTGCTACTTGACCGTTAATAACGAACGTAATTCTTCCTTTGAATCAAATGCGACAGCTGTGCTACACATATCCGACATATCTACTGATCCAGTTCGTAATAAACGTGCGCGCCGTTTATCGAGCAGCGATGAGTAGTTGCGAAAATGATTTTTATTCCCAATTTCAAGTAAAATTTTTGCATGCTGCATGTACGTACTTATGGACTGAATTTTCACTGTGCACTAATTTTAATTTCTTTTTCGTAATAAAAATGAATAGTTTTTGTTTTCTAAATGTAAAAATATGGATTTCATTAGTGCTTTTTTTGCACGGTTTTTTCAAACAATGTGTAGAGTGTTTTCAAGAGTTGGAAGCATATTCTGATTTGCTATGTTGAGTATTATATTTGACCAAAAATTTTTAAATTTCTTTTGCAAATCAATAAGAAGACTCCTTGTTAACATAATCGGTGTACTAAGTATATCTCTTTTTTCATTTTTATAAAATAAAAAAAAACAATTTTTATAGATTGTATTCAAGAAAGAAAATGGAGAGTCCAATCGCTCTTCTTATTCTTTGACTCTGATTATACTCGGGCTGTCTGCATTGGCTTTTCTTTTGCTTTTCCAACTTCTAGGTATAATAATAAGTGTTTGAAGAAATGGTTTACGCCTTTACTAAGCGATCAGACATTGTTTGCATTAATTTTAATATAAGCAAAAAATTACATACAGTTAAGATCGAATTATTTAACACAGACGGTTTAATCAGTTTACTTATTCACTTCAAATTAAGGGAACTTTTGGGTCGTTTAGTAAGCTCTCGCTATTTCGCAAGCAAGACACTAGTAACTAGTGTTGTGGGATGGTTCTCCATTTCAACGCATTATCTTGAAGCCTTACTTTACAAGTTACGCCAGGGAGATATAAACAACATGTAGATATATGTATATAGGTATATATATTTTTGAATTGTGATTAGGCTGACTACCAAAAAAAAAAGAAAAAAGAAAATGTCATTTGGGGAGGACATTAGTGTTCTGTGGTTTTTCTTTTAATTTGAGGAAAAGTGCTTCTGATCCGTAATCGGTGACTGAAAATGGACACAATACAATATTTGAAACGAAGAAGAAACACACGATGAAAGCGCGATGAAACATTAACGCAGATAGTAAACCCAAATATCCATTTCTATTATAAGTTATTTAAACGATATGAGACAGTCACTAGAGAACAACTGGCACAATTGAAAGGGAATTCGCGCACAATATGCTAAAACTAATATGATAGCAAGAATTTTCAGAATTATTACATTCGGCTCCATATATGTAACGTCATTATGTTCGATGGTTGTTGGTGTCAGCAGGGCTTCCATTTTTATAAGATCTATTTAGACTTTCCTTCGTTGCGGCATTCATATTCTGGCTGTAAAACGCGAAAAGTAGTTGCTACCGATGGGCAATACTTTATGTGAAACATTGTTGCTCTTTCCTCCTTTTCTTTTTTTACTAAAAAATCGATGAAATTCCAAGATATTTTATAACAAATATGTATTATAGCGCACGATAAATGTTACACACGCTGTTAGCGCAAGCATTCCATGGCATTATTATAACATATTATAGTTTATATGACGGCACTGATCGATAATGTGTTAATATATTGTGGCCTTCAAGATATTGCAACATGCCACAACTTGAACATGTACACGTGTTCATAACAACGCAACACAGAGAATATTATCCCCAAAAGAATCAATTGTTTTTAAAGTTGCATTGACTGCAGATAACATAAGGATCGATTTGATACGTTTTTGAACTTAACTATGCCGCCAATGAAAAGAAAGACTTCAGGATGATGGTTCTGGCTTTCTTCATGTAATTTTAAATTTAAAGTACCGTGCTATAGAAAAAAGATGGACATCATATGATTAAATCGAGTTTTTTATTCATAGTGATCAAGATTATGTACAATCAATTTGTAAAACAAATGAACATGCTACAGTGGGTCACGGCCCACCCGTTAACAGTTATTCATATAGCTACCATTCTACTGTTATAAAACAATTTTTTCATATGAAGCGTTGCATGGGAAATGGTGTCACGATCGGAACCATTTTTAATAGCGTTCTTTTTGGCACGTCAATGTACCAAATTTTCATATCAGATTATAGTCTGTGAAAAGTATGAAAGGACATACAAGGTTAAAGCGATTAAATAAGTGATTCACAAAGTGCTTTTGCATCGATTGGCACAAAAATAAAGATGGGTTTTTCTCAAGTCCTTCTGTGAATCAGATACATCCACGAAAAATGAATATGCGGTCGTAGCATAAATGGTGTAAAACTTATTTTGGTATTATATACCGATTTATTACATAGCAGCTAGAATCGCCTATTAGGCACAAGCTAGTTATCAGTTACACTTACTGCTGTCGATCTGAGCTAAGTGAATGGATTAGATCATGGATTAGAATATTACTTTCCTACGGAAAACTTTTTTAAGAAATATTGTGCTTATATCCCCTGATTGGACCGATTGTCAACATTTCGTAATGTTATATAAAAGAAATGAAAGGTGATGAAGGGAAAAAGTATTTGGATTGCTTTCTTCTATCATTCAAATCATAGAATAGCGGATGAAAAGTGAATGAGTTTCGAATACTTATGTCAAGCAATTACTTTACTTCAATTAGTTTGGATTAAGGCCTTGTAAAATCGATGAGAATTTTGGATATTCACTGCATTGAGGCAAACATTTCTTGAATATTTTATACACACAAATAACACTCCATACATTGTCAATTGGCAATTGTGATCTTTAGGCGTAATAAGTAATAACAAAGATGTTATCGGAAGTCCAAGCATTTTCTAGGACATTACTGATTCTTTCTATTGTTTCTATTTTAATCAATTATAACTTTAGCGCCTTTCTTTAACAAAACTACCTTCACGTAATCGAGATAGTATTAAAGATATTGCGGTTATCCTTGCATTCTTTGCAAATTAAAGGTCTACGCTTGTTATTAAAGCTAAAATTCAGTTAATGGAAATATCTTTAAATCTGCTTAAAAATTCTTTGTAGAGACAAAACAGTAATTGATTCACTTTTATAAAATGCCCCAATTACTTTTACGCTTTTCATCGCTGGAGATTAAAATCAACCAAAAAAAGTTATGATGACAATTTTTTCAAAAGCGTTGTCAACAAATTTTTCGTCAGTTGCTGGCTTCAATACATTCGCTTATGTTTACAAAAAAATTAATATCCAATGAAAGTGGAAAAACAAGGTGGGAAAGAATGATGCTCAGAACGACTAGCTATTCGATGTGAATATAAAATGAAAAACACCTTTTACCAGCCCATACATTAAAACGTCGTTACATGAGCGCATGTAGGTATTTTGTCGTCTCTGTTCATATTGCTTTGTTTTTGTTTTTTTTCATGTGTGCGAAAATAAGTCAAGGGAAAAGAGAGAAAAATCAGATACACTAGGCACACGATGATCCTTTAATTTTTCAATTCATTTTTACACATTTCACTTAAGTAGTTTTACTCTGCTATAAAATCTTTCTTTATAATGTTGCACTATTTTCATTTACCACTTTTGAGGTTATGCCGTGCGAAGTCGTTTTTTTTTTTTTTGACTGGGATCTTTCAATTCAATAGTGTTTGGGAATTTGTAAATTGCTTATAAAAAGATTATTTTTCTTACTTTTAGTGTTAAATTTTACAATTATGCTCTCACTGCTAAATTGCAATCATTTTAATCATTTCAATGAACGAATAATTTCAAAGGACATGTGAAACAA